CCAGCCCCCACCCATAGCTGGCAGGCTTGCAGCAGCAAGTCCAGAAACTGTACCAGAAAGTGCAGAGGGAGCTCTGGCTCCATGTTGCCACCTGTGGCAGCATCCCCGAAGGGAAGCACCAACACAGACGGGCGCAGAGATCAACGCTTTGCTGTCCCTCGGCTAGGTTGGCAAGCAAGCAGGAAAAGCTGAAAACCGGCTGTCCAGGGGGGTCCCTTTAAGCTCGAGCCTCAGATAGCCTCAGACAGCAGCCACACAAAGCAACTACTGACCTGATGCCCTGCCAGAACCGGTTTCAGCTGCCCTTAAATGCCCCCCTGCGTCCAATCAGTGTGGACGCGCTAGTTCGAATTAGCAAAACGCTAATTCGAACTAGTTTTTAGTTCTAGACGCGTTAGTTCGAATTAGCTTAGTTCGAATTAACTAATTCGAACTAAGTTAATTCGAACTAGCGCTGTAGTGTAGACATACCCTAAGAGACAAATACGACAGTTCCTGGGGTTAGCAGGGTACTATAGACGATTTTTTAGCTGACTTCGCAACCCTAGCAGCCCCCCTAACAGACATGAGGAAAAATAGTCAACCCCAAAAAGTGCAGTGGACCGAAAGAGGCAGGCAGGCGTTCTTCACCATCAAACAACGTCTGGTATCGGCCCCAGTATTACGACAGCCAGATTTCTCGAAACTGTTCATTCTACAAACGGACGCTTCCGAGGTAGGATTAGGGGCTGTACTAGTGCAAGAAGTAGGAGGGGAGGAACACCCAGTCTTATATGTGAGTCGCAAACTGTTCTCCCGGGAGAAAAGCTATGCGACTGTTGAAAAAGAGGCCCTAGCGGTTAAGTGGGCCATTGAGGCCTTATGTTATTATCTTTTAGGGGCCCGATTCTTGCTGATCACGGACCACGCACCGTTAAGATGGATCCAATCAATGAAAGAGACAAATGCACGAATAATGCGGTGGTACTTGTCCCTACAGCTGTACTGTTTCCAGGTGATACACCGCCCAGGGGCGGCGCACGCGGAAAGGACAGGGGGGTAGAGGGAGCCCCGGAACATGACTTAGAGGGGGAGGTGTGTGACGGGGTGGTGCAACCCCGTACTAACCGCAACCCCCCCAGAGGGCCGGGGGGGCGCGGAGCAGCTTTCCCGGCCACGAGAGAAGCTGCCGGAGCGGCGGTAGAGACGCGCCGCCCGGCAGGTGGCTTAATCGGCGGTTCCCCGGATGCCGGGGAGGAGGCTTCCCCCGCAGCGGGGGAGACAGCGGCAGCGGGGGGATAC